CGCATTAGCAGTCTAAGGACTCAAAGAGCTAACTGCCCCCCCCCATGGGCTTGTCTTTCAACCTCAGCAAAAGCAAAATGGGGAGAAAAGGGCGGGGGGGGGGATCAGCTCCCACTAGCCTCAGGCTGACGTAACCACCCTAAGAAGGGAAGGAAAAGACAAGAAGCTACCAAAAGTAACCGATTTTCACTTATTGAGAAAGAAAAAGGGGAAGGGGTCCTTTGCTCCCAGCCCACGAGAGCGAGAGACCCCCTCTGCGCAAGCCCCCAGCCCCAGTCAAAAGTGAGCAACCCCAGCCCCAGGCGCACAGCCGCCCCAGCAGCTGCCTGAGCAGCAGCAGCAGCAGCAGCAACTAGCTTCTTCCAGCCAGCAACAGTTGCCTGGCTGAGGCAGGCGAGGCGAGGGCTCGCTCCAGTGCCGCACGACGCCCGCTTCGGGAGGGTGCTCCAGGGCCCTGGAGCCCCCGCCCCGCACCTAGCCTTGGTTGGAGAGGTGGGGGGGCTAGGGGCACAGGAACCCCCCCCCCCGAAGCCTGCGCTGAGGCTGCTCAACCCCTTCTGTGCAAGTTGACTTCGCTTAGGTCACCTCTCTCCCAAATCTGGTAAAGCGTTAGGCTTTTGGAGGAAGAAGGGCTTTCTGGCTAGGGAGAGGAGGGGGGTATAAGTAGCAAAAGACAAAAGAGGAGTGGAAGGGACACAGGGTGAAGCTATTTTTAATCTGACGTGGCTTTTCTGTCTCACCTTCTGTAGAGCTATCGCTCCACAGACGGCCCCAGGTGAGAGGCAGGAGGAAAATCCCCCAGACCTTTTTCTTTTGCTCCATCTCCGGTGCAGATTTTAGGGACTCTTTTACTCTCTTAAAAAATGCATCCCCGGAGGCAAACTCTCCTTTATCTGGGGAGGGGGACTGTGATTTAGCCCTGGAGCTCGGTGTTCTCGCCTTTGCTGCCTTCTCAAGGGCTGAGGTAGTACAGATTGCCTCTGTCCAGCACTCTCACACTCCGGAACCCTTTACTTACTCCGGAGAGGATACAGTCGGGTGTTCTACTAACCGACAGGAGGATGATGGTGGGCGTTTAGTTTGTTGGATGAAGGATGGTTAGGATTTGGGGGAAATTTCAGGCCCTCCCCGAAAGTGTGATGCTTCTCGGCCCTCAGGTCTTGGACTCTCGTATCCTAGACCCATCCTCTCATCTATTCCATCCCTGTGGGCACTCGTGTGTGTCTGTGTGTCCTTCTGGCCCAGTCCCTAAGGGCAAGGGCGTCTAGCAGTGTTCTCAGTTGGCGAAGGGCACGGGGCTCAAAACGTGGCGAAGGCCTGATTTGTGCCACTTGTAAGCGAAGTGGTCACGACTGCAATGAGTGGAGGGGAGGAGGGGGGACCCATGGAGTCTCCCCACTCTGAAGCTTTGCCTCCCTCCCCAGGACCGGGCGCCTAGAGAGGCCAGGATGGGGCTGCTGCTGCTACTGTAAGCTGCTGAGGTACAACGGCAGCTCTCAAAAGCTTCCTGCCTGCGGGGGGGAGGGGTGTCCCCAGTTTTCTCCTGTTTTACCCCCTTCCATGCTTTATAGTTTTGAAAAAGAGGAGATGGGGACCCCAGCCTGCAAAACGCCTCAAATCCGGTTGGAAGCGGGCGCGGGAGGAAGACTCCCGGGAGCGGGCGGTGCCTGGGTGTTTTCCCTCTTTTTCGGAGCTACCGGATTCACCACGGTTCTCCTCACCTCCGGGTCCCGCGCAAAGGGACACAGGATGGAGAGTGCCTTCTGCCCCTCCCTCAAGGGCTTCCTCAACCCCCTAGTGCAGAGTCGGATCATTGGGGTAAAAAATGACCACAGAATGTCCTAAAATGATTCATATCCCAGGTATTGACTTGGCCCTACGACCAGGTCCCTTTTTTGCAGTGTGTGAATGGGGTTACTCGGGGTGTGGGCGGGGGGTGGGGGAACGACACAACTTCTGTAAACTTTTATTGTATTTTGGCTTCGTCCCACTTCTCTGAAAGCACACGCACCCCACCCGCTCCAATTCCCCCTATGATACAAAGTCGATTAAAAAGTTGGGGGTGGGGGACCCTCGCCAAGGGAGAGCGGGTGACCAAAGCCTCGGGGAGCGCAGAAAGGACAGGAGGAAATGAACTGATTCTTCCGTGGAAAATGGGGGACAGGCTGAGGAGGTCTCGGACTCAGCCGCTTCGGGAAGGTGCGGGCTTCGGCGATCGCTGGTGGCTGCGGTCTTCTCGATGAGTGAGCCCTCCGCGAATGCTTTTTGGGGTAAGGGCTTCCGGCTATTGAGTTATGTACAGCAAGCCCAGACCGCAAAAAGATTCGCGAAGGGCAGAGTCTGCCGGCTTCTTCGGTCCGCCGCCGCCGCCGCCTTCAGCCCAGGATGTCTCCGAACCCCGGAGCCGAGCAGGCTGGGTCTCCCCAGCGCGCTCCATCGCGGCTCAGCCTCCCCACCCTGCGCGCCGCGCGCCCTTCCTCTAGCCTCTCGACCTGTCTCTCTATTTTTCCAGACCGTTCAAGATCCCCCAACTCAGCCCGGCCCAGCCACGAAAGAGGTGTGTGGAGGATGAGAAGGGGAGATCGGAGGGGGACCCCGGATCCCGGAGCCCAGCCTCCACCCCTTTCTCGTCGCCCCAACACTCCGAGCCTCCCTGTCTGTCTGTCCTATCACCCCATTCTCCTATCAGGGTTCTGCCAGCCCTGGCTGCAAGGTCGCGGATCTCTGAACAGGTACAGTTCGGATTCCCCCCGAATCCCCTCTTATCCCTCTCAGTCCCCAGCAGAGGTTCCAGCCGTGACTACAGGCGCTGCGTAAAGAGAAAAACTCCCCCAGAGCACTAAATAAATACAGACGAGGCCGCCATCTCATTGGTGTGGACTAAAATCGTCACTCACCAATCAGAAAAGAGCTCACATTTCCTTTTTTTTTTTCAGAAGGGGGAGGGAGAAAAAAATATTTCCATTTCTAATTATTCAACAAAACCTAGACTGGAACACGTTAAAATATTGTTGTTGCAAAAAAGCTGGCCAGGACCCCCCCCCATTCCTATCCAAGTGAAGGAAATAGCGCGACATATTGGGAAAAAGGGGCTCAAGAAAGAGACCTCTCCCAACGGGACCCAAACCAGAAGATCCAGACGGAAAATGACAGGCAGAGATGATCATAAAATAAACCCAAATTCCACTCTAGTCCGCTTATTTCTAGAAAAATGAGAATCCCCCCCCCCAAAAAAGGAAGTTCTGAATGCTCAAAAAGAATGGCGAAGCTCTTCCCTAGCACCCTCCCTGAAACCTGGCCAGATCCTGGGTGTCTAATGGCCCATTTGCCTCAGGTGCCCTTTTCCTGCTGCAACCCCCCCTCCCTACCCATTCTGCAGAATGTTGGGGGAAACAACAAGGGAGAGCCGGTCATTGCCAGCTCTCACAGCTAGGGGAGATTCTAGTGTCTGCAGGAGGAAGGAGAGAGGAGGGGAGGAAGGCAAGAGAGAAGGGAGGATGATTTCTTTCCCCCACTCCCCCTCCTTTCCTTTCCCCTCCTTTTCTCTAGACTTCCTCCCCCATTCTATACATCCAAAACTTTGAAGGGTTGCTCTCTTCTTTTCAGTGTAGCGCCGCCCTCCCCCCTCGTCTTCCCCCCCCCCAAATTAGTGTCTAAGAAGGGTTGAGCAAAGGGACATTTGACTGTTTCCCTCCGCAGTAGTATATGCCCCAGTAGGGGAAAACCTAAGCTAGGATGGGATACTGCAAATATAGCAAGAACTTAGGGGGTAAAGTACCATATTTGTGGGTTTTTTTTTTTTTTTTTGGTCACACTGGAATCGACGTGCGGGCGGGCGCGCGCGCACGCTCACGCCCTTGCCCAGCACGCCCGTTGAAAACGTCTCTAGGCGATGGAGTAGCAGTCTACAAGTCTCTGTCGGCCCACCCCCTCCGCCCATCCATCACCCTCCAGCAGCTCTGCGACCCACCCACCCTCCCACTGCATCCCCTCGGCTTGGCTCAGCGACGGACAGACGCAAGCACACACCCTCCCAGCGTCGGCGCGCCAGCCTCGCCAGAGGGGGCTCTCCAATCTGTGCCCGCGGCCGCTACGGCGCCGGGCAACTGGGGAAAAAAAAGTTCTGCTTAGCCGATCAGTGAGCCTGCGGACCACCAGCCGGCCAGTACTCCGTCCCCCTTCTCCTTACCTCGGTCCTGGGGCCAAGGGAGCGCGGCGGTCCGGTCTGCACTGCAGCCAGCTTGAAGGAGCCCTCTTCGGCCGGCCCGCTCCCCTCCCGCCCCGCCCCGCCCCCCCACGGGTGTTTGCCCAGCGGCAAAGCGGGCTCTTCCAGGTAAGTATATAAGTTACTGTACTGTGTGGGAGGGTCACGATCTTGGTAATTGCGGTTTCTCGAGCTTAACCCCTGCGTTCCTGCCTTCCTCCAACTTGTTGAGGACTCGTCGGGTAGCCGGAGCGAGCGAGCGCGCCAGAGAGAGCGCTGGCTGAGAGGGGGGGAAGACAGGTGCGCGGGGCAGCGAGGGGAAAGCGAGACAGCGAGCAGCGGAGTTCAAATGCCCCCCTGGCAGCGGTTTTCATTGGATAGGTCTTCCCCCCCACCCCCGTCCCCCCAGGTTTGCACCCCCCCCACGTCTCCCATGTAGGGGACGTCTCCAGGCGAAGTCACGATTCCTTCTCAGTTCGGAATGAACTGTGACTAGAGCCATGACGCAGCCAGCGCGCATTACTCACTTTTTGCAGTCACGACTTGGGGATCCGTGCTGGTTCCAACCAAAATTACACCGCTGCCATTGAATTATTTAATAGGATCCAGTTCGGGGGGTAAACTTGTGCATTGTGCCAAGCAATTGGGCATGGGAGGGGGAGAGCGGGGTGGAGGGAAATAAGGACATGGGGCGCCCCTCCGCCCTTTTCATGACTTTTGGAAACCCCATTACCACCAACACCGCTCCACGTGTTCTAAGTGCTTCAGCCCGCTACCTCTCTTCTCCACCCGGCCGCTCCCCCCACCCCCTGCTATTTCTTTCGCAAAGTGGCAGAATTTGTAAACATAACCACGCAACTTGTGGGGCTGAGGGGGGCGAGGCTTGGGAGAGTGAGCTAGTAGGTCCAGTTGAATGACAAGGAGATCTAGGGGTAGGGGTGGGCCGAGAGACTGCGGGCAGCTCTGGTTTGAGCTGAATTGTCAAGACAAAGTGTGGGTTGCAGCATTATTTATGTTATTCTCCACAACATCAGTTACAGCTCTTGTTACTATTATGAGTTGACTGAATACTCAACCTCAGCAAGGGCACCTTTCCAGAGAGGGTCTGCTTCTGAGCTAAAGATAACTCGACCCACACTATTTGCCCCCTAAAGCTGCAACTCAGTTGCCCTGAGTGGAGGTGAGGTCACTAAATTAGGGACTGTTGTCAGGTGGAGCAGAGAGAATCTGGTTTCCCTTTCTTTTTCTTATGAACGCTGCTCCCCCCCCACAGATACTCCGCTGGCCTGAGTTTTTTTTTTTTTAAACATTATATATGTATAAAATCCCTGCGTGCACACAAGTTTACTGCAGACCTGTTAAGAGTTCTTCATTTTTTCCCTCCATCTACAGCCCACCCTTGTGGACCAGCTTGAGGATGCACTTTTATTATCCCCCTCCGAGGAGTTAATCGGTATGAATGTCTGTGTGCGCGTGATATTCGTCCCCCCTCTTGCCTCCAATAACCTTCCTCTCTCCTCACCTGTCTGACTACAGGTTTGGACGGTGTCTGGAGCTGATTGCAATGAATCTCACTCGGGGTCAAGCCCACAATCTCTGGGAGTTGATGGGTCATCTTGGAGAACACCCCTTCCCAATTTCCCTTGCAGCTGGTTTGCAACCCTTTGGCTTTCAGGCGCTCAGCGATGTTCCCAAGCCTGGATTCTCTGCGCATGGCACCAGTAAAACTGTGCTTTGGCTTCTAATTCACTCATTTCACCAAGTCATTTAGGGCTCCTATGACTAGGATGTGAAGTAAGTGGGAATCATCAGAAAAATGCCATTACACACCCTTACACACCTCCCAGAAATTGCAGAATGTGGGAGTGTGGGGGGGGGCATGAAGTGGGAGCAGACGAATAAAGCAACCTATAGCCTCTTATTTTGAGTCACCATCATCAGGAAGAAGTCTTTCAAACCCGCTGGCGGGAAGGTGTGGGAGCCTGAGAATGGAGACCCAGAGAGTAGCCAGCCTCTGCAGGGAAAGACGGTGAGCCACTGGCCTTCCATTCCTGGAGCGCTGGGCCTTGGATCATCCTCGAATCTAACACTTCGTTCCCTCTCCTTTAAATTTTTTCCCCCTTTCCTTCCCACTCACCCCTCCTTTCCCCAAAGCTCTCACCGAAGTCACGACTATCCCCTTTGAACATCCTTAACCCTCTCCTCTCCGTTTTCCTCTTCAGCATCCAGGGCGGGGCTAAACAGAGGCTGGCTCCAACCCCGCCCCCTGGTGCTCAGAACTGAACTAGCTAAGGACCAAGGATTTTTCAGCACCTATCTTCCGTGGACAGCGACCGAATCCTGGGCCAAACCCAGAACAGATCTTGGGCCTTGGGTTTCCGGACTGGAGCGAGCGGGGAGGTTTGTCAAATGGACAGGGATTTCCCCATCTCTATAATGCCCCAGCCCCACGCAATTTTGTATATTGCACAGTCTCCATTAATATCGCAGAGAAATGGCCCATTAAGTCCTGTCTGGTCACCCTTTAAGACAGAGAAAATGGGAGGGGAGGGGGCAGTCGAGAGAACCGAGCTCAACAGCGCCGACCCATAACGAGAGAGAGAGTTGCAGCAGCTATTGATTCAGAGATTTGTCAGGGTGATTCCCGGCTCTGCAAGAATTCCCTCTCTCATTTCCTTTGCATGCAGCCCCAAACTCATTATATACATATATACACACACACATATAACTACACCTTAACCCCCTACTCAGTTTCATTCTCCTCTTTAGAAAGAAGTAAAAAGGCAGCCAAAAAAAAGAACCCCAGAGCATGCACAAAGTAAGCGTCAGCTCATACTTACAGTCTGCGGCATGCACATGACATAATATTACTTACCCAAACGGGAACTCCTTAAGAGAGAGAAAGAGAAACATAGGGGGAGGGAAGAGAAAGTGGATGAAGAGAGGAGAGAGGAAAGGAAAAATCCAACAATTAATTTCCAGACATAGTTGGGGGGGGGAATGCGGTGATGTCCAGGTTTTCTTCCACCCGCGCTGGCTTTTTATCCCAGTACAGCCCTCGGTCTATTTCTGGAACACGATCAAACCCTGATGCTATTTTTAGCAAGTGCTGAAAAAACCTCCACACACAAAGGCATTTCGCTGGAACGTTGCGTCCAAAACATTAAGAGTGCATTCGGCACCCCCTCCCCACTTTCTTCTGCACCGACAGACTCACTTGCATTACTGCAGAGAATGTTTTTCAAAGCAGAAAAATGCACAAATATTTCTTATATTCTCCCTCCCTCCCATTAACTCCCGTCTGCCTCTGCCTGTTGCAAGCTCCTCGCAGTCTCCCCGAGCAGAAGGCGTTGGAGTGGTTGTATTCTTAGAGCTGCATGTCTCCATTGAACAGATTCCTTACATCCTGGGAAAGAGGGGGTGCTTTGCCCCTTTCCCAGAGAAGCTTCCCAGGAAAGCTCTAGAGTCTAATGCTATCCACGATGGAGATTCCCAAATGAGGAGGAAAAAAATCGTCCGTACCCTTCCCACGTTTCCCACCCACGCTTTGCTAAATCGCGTGGTGTTTGCAACACACCGCCTTTGGAAATGTATATTTTGAAAGCTGCATATGTGTGTCTCTGTGTGTGTTTTGCGTTCTAGTAATTCACTACGAGGGGGTTGGAGAAAATAGACTCAAGAAGACAGCGCGGAGCAGCCGCCTTGAGTCTCCTTTGCCAGCCTGCGTCAGTCATCAGCTACTGACGTCACGTGCAGATTCTCCTCTTTGGTGGGTCTGGTTTAGCGGAGAAGAGGCTTCTGCTCAGAGACAGCGCTTTGTGTTCGGCGCAGCCACTGAGCAGGCGAGGCGGCCGAGGCGGGCGCCACCCTAGGCTTGGGCTGGGCAGCTGCAGAGGAGGCTGCAGCCTAGTCTGCACCCAGCGTGCTGGGCCCGGAGGGGCGGGCCCAGCAGGACAGCCCCCTCCCCAAATCCCCCCCACGCCCCTCCGCCCAAAGCAAACTCCGCGGTGCACAGACTCCGGCGCGAGTCCTTTCCCCGCCCTTTCGCATCTGGCCACTGTAGCAGAGACAGCTATGGCTATAACTCGGATTAATTCTGTGTGTTTGTCGGGCAGATAGCCCCAGCTCCTCGAGTGACGCAAATAAAAGATTCTACAGCTCCCGCTCCCTCTCCTGCTCCCTTTTTCTCCCTCCCTACTTCTTTCCCCTCTTCTGTTTCCTGCGCCCACGCATCCTGCTTGGTCTCCCACGGAATCAGCCAGCTACAGCTTCCCAGAGAGCAATGATCTGAGTTACAGAGAGACGGACAGACTCCCAGAACAGGAACAAATAAGCCTGCAATTAAGACACACATACACACAGCCTTTTGCAAATGGCCAGCAGCCGTTTGGGGGCTCCCCTGTGTGGCGGGAGGGGGCAGCTGATTCACAAATCCACCAGCCTCCAAGGAGACTGCTGGCGTGGGAGCACCCAGAGGGGAGGGTCGGGGCTTGCTGCTGCAGTTTCCCCTGTGCTTGCCACCGAGGAAGAAACCCACCTTTATAAATACCTAGCAGGCAGGGAATTAGCGAATAGACAACTTTCGTTCAATGATAGGAGGAGGAGAAAATTCAACAAAGACTGCAAACGCTGTCTCCAGCAGGACTTTTTAAGGCGTGGTGACTGTTTACCCTTTCTCCCTCTGAAAGAACAGGAGATTTTTTTTTTTCTTCCTAAAATAAGGTCCCTGAAAAATGAGCTCTTTGGATGAGTGCTATTTTTAAACCAATTCGAATGGAGCTCCTTTCATGAGGGTGACAGTCTCTGTGTGTACGTGTGTGCCAGGGTGTGTGGTGCATATCTGAATCGGAGGTGTTCAGCAGGAGAAATGCCACACCTCAGCATGACAAAGGGTTATTGATTGATGGAGTTGGGAAGAATTCTTGCAGATTGAAAGATCCCAATAGAATTACACGCACATAAATCACCTTCCTCAAATGTACAGAGTATCCCAGATCCACCAGGCGTAACCTGTGCCCTGAGAGGAGAGGAAACTGGGAAACAGGGAGCTATTTGCAGATGTGGCTGGATGCATGATTTATCTCCTTAACCTTAACTGACATTTCCCTGGGTGCCAATCACCAATTATCCAGAGGTTACCATGAGGATTTGGGGCACAAGGCCTAGGAAAGAATGATCTTGGAGCTCAGACTCTGTCATCTCCCTCCTCAGGCCTCTGCACCTTTGTAACTTGCCTTAGAGAATTTCTTTTAAGCTTAAGCCTGTTCAGTACCTTCAATTTCTGTCTGTGGCTTAAGCCATGCCTACTAAAGGGAGACAGAGGACATCAGCTAAGAATGGAGGACACCCTCTGGCAGCCCATGAGCAGCTGTTCATTTTTAGCTCTACAAATACATGTACGCATGCATGCGAGAAAGTTGCTGCAGTTGGGAGGCAGGCAGTCAGGAGAAATGTCAATGAGAGGGAGGCAGCCCTCTTGTTCTGTGTTGAAGATGGCTTATCACATGGGGTCATCAGATGTGACCAGGCAGACAGGAAATGCTGGGAATGTTTCAATGAAGTTTTCTTGGATTAATGAGAATGTCAGGTTAAGCATGTTTTAAAAAGCAGAGAGTAGTCATGTTTTTAGATGTTAGAGTAGGTGTGCATAAGTATAAATTCATTCATGTGGGCACATTCACAAAAACTATAGTTTCTGTGTGGACTACATACACTATAGAAAGGAGAGGCAATCCAGAATAATGTTATCTGCTTTCTGTGCTGTATGTGGTGGTCTGGTGCTATTGTGTCTGGCGCAGAGACCACTATAGATTCATGTAAGATCCCTAATGGCTTTCTGGAAATCCTCAATAAGATAGAGTTGGGAATAGTTGGGAATGTGTTCAGGCTACACATATTAGAACTTTGACAGCAGCAGCCAAAATTATGCTAATCTAACCCTGGCCCACCTGGTAGACTCCATGACTCCTCTCCCCTCTCCCAGAAGAAGGAGCTTCTTTGCCTCCTTCCTGTCTTGTGACAGTATTAAAGCTGCTGGTTACATTCAGTGAGCAGGGCTAGGAAGCACAGCAGAGTCATTTGCAGAAAGTTTGTCCTCTGTGGCCAGTATGTCCATTTCTCCTACTTCTCTGTCAGATCCTTTGGTGGCTGGGCTGGAGGTGGTGACCTTGGCTTTCCAAGCTGTCCCACCACCATTTGCTGATGACTACGATGCCCAATTCCTGTCTGTGCAGTCCAACTAAAACCTTGGGGAATTAATTGACTGATGTGAAACCTGTCCAAGATGAAAACCACCTTATGCAATGCCAACTCTTCCCTGGACATCCCAGGCATGTTAGAAGAGGACTCATTTCCCCTAATGCTCTCCCCAGAGGGTCTGTGGGCAAAGGGAAAAGGCTGGCTGTCAGGTGGCCTTTAAAAAGAACTTAGTCTTTTCTCCTTCAGGGTCAAATGAAGCCAAGAAATGTTCTGCTCGGGTTTGTTGTCTCCAAACGGGAAAAATGCCAGTAGGTAGAGAACTGTGTTTGGAGGAGGAAAAAAAAAAATAACCCAGCTCCCAGAATATCAGTCCCAGGGAGACTATTAGGAGGAAGTCCATGAAAGAGGGGATTCCTCTTTGCCTACAGGGGTCTTCTTTAGGGAGCAGAACTATTTTGGTTTAAGGAAAGGGGAGAGAGAAGAAACCAGACACTCTGCTGGGGGCCTTAACATAAACGACCTTATTTAATTCTTAAGGCAATTCTATGGGTGTTGTTATAATAATGTTATAATAATTCTGTCCCATGGAATCAGGGAGCACAGAAATCACTCCAAAACCATTAGTTATCACTTTACCCATTTTCAAAAGGAGGAGAAGGAGACCTGAAAGTTTGACTCTCTAAAAGCCTTAGAACTTGGAGTTGTAAAACTAGGAATCAGATTGAATTCTTGTCTGCATCGCTTCCACACTCATGTCCACACCTCTTATCATGCATTTGCTCTACTCTAATCTCTCATCTTCAGTATTCAAGTTCTAGGCTCCAACACTTGGAGTTGGAGGTGTCTTGGACTTTCTTGGCATTAACCTGAATAATGAAACTGATTCTCACTAAGGAGACCTTTAGCCAACCAGACACCACCCCACTTCCTCCACTCCCTGTAAGAGAGATCTGTGTGAGAAGACTCCCCTTTGTTTTATTTCATGGAAGGCTCCAGCTAGTTCAGCTTCTTCCAAAACTTAAGGGTTTGCCTGAAACCAGCCAACTGAAGGTGGAGATGTTGTGAATTTTCTGTCCGTTCAGGCTGCTGCAATAAAGTACGTTCCTACCCCCACCAAGGAAGGAAGCCCCTTGGGTGGCACCAGAGAGAAGTCATGAACAGAAGGCTATCTTAAGATGAGAAGAGCAAATCTGCACCTTGAGTTGGCAAACCACCTGAGTTCTCATTCACTCCTTTAGAAACTGGCATCCCTGATCATTTTCCTGATTTCAAAAACTTCAGAGGCTGAGCCATTAGCCCAGTGGGGGCAGATAAACCACAGCATGCATAATACGAGCTATTCCACGGTCCCCTTCCCCTGTTAAATACATGTTTTCACCACTTACCCTGATCAAGAGGTATACTCAGTCTTGGGAAACACTTCTTAGAAGCCAGCATATATGGAAGTCTGAGGGTGGAAGATTTAAGGACTACCTGGATGCTGGAGGAGAGTGACACATTCCATCCCCCCCTTTTTCTCTTACCACCAACACTCAAAAGTCTCAACTCTCTGTTCACCTGAAATTACCTTGTTCAGCTTCAGAATAGTTAAGACAATACCTGCTCTTTGGATAATTCCATTTTCAAGGGACAAGCTCTTTCAAGTACTCCCCTGCCCCAGATAACCTAACTACTGGACACCTTGGAGGACCAGATGAAGGTTTTCGCCTGCCTTGCCAAAGAAAGGCACATTTGGGAGAAGGAGGACTAGGGGAGGGCTACCCAGGAATACCTAGAGTAGGTTTCATGGTGAGGATCTGAGCAGCGACAGGGAAGCCAGAGCAAGCACATGACAGCAGGCAGAGGCTGAGGGGACAAAAGGGATGGGGGCCCAGGAAGCCAGCATACCTAGAGGATAAACAGCAGGGTGTTAGAGCTCGGAAAGCATGGACCACAGGGAGGAGAGAACACGCCAAGGGATGCTTGGAGATACCTGTACGACTTTAGCCTTAATCTTGAGGTTGATGGACAGTTGTGTTTCCCCATGTGAATTCGGCAGGCAGAGACAGCTGAATCACAAATTCATGGGGGCCTATTGGATATGAAGTGGCAAAATTTTATGCCCAGTCACTATTAAAGCAGCTTTGCTAAATTAGCTGCTGGTCTACCAAGCTGGAATCGCTGTCTGATAGGCCAAGAGTAAAGAATGAGGATTGCATTTCTGAAATGCCGATTCCATAAATGCAAGGAGGGTGTGGAAGACAGGGGAAGAATCCACTAATGTACCTGCTTGGGACTGCCCAGTTTTTTTTTTTTTCCTCTGTCCTTCTTGGCAAGGCCATGAATGAAATAGTGAATTGAATCTTAATCTTGCCACAAGAAATACCTTCAAAACCTAGCCTCTTCCATCAGTTCTAGCTTGCAGGATGTGGAAAAAGAGGGAAGGTGTGCTTTCTATTTGAGGGGGGTTTCAACCGTTCTCTTTCTAGTGATTTAAAATTTTTAAAAAAAAGAGCACTAGGAGCTCAACAAATCCTGACTTGGCCAATCCTCAGGGTTTATTTTGTTTTGAACATAGTGGGGTGGGACTAACAATTATAGCTGGGCTGGGCTGGGCTGGGGAGTCCTGCAGGGCCTTCAGGTCAATAGGGAGCAAGAGAGGATAACTCCTAGGGCCTCGACGGCGGTTCCAACTCATCAGCACTGGGTTTCTGAGATCACTGCAAAATACCCAAGACAGTGCTGGCTAATGTCACTTACCTCACCATCCAGGAGCCTGTGGCTCAGGACCCATGAAGAAAAGCCTTGGGTCCCAAATGAAAATGTCTAGAGTGAAGCCATTGCAATGTGGTAGAATGAAATGCAAATTTAATTGAAGGAAAAAAAAATCTAGATGATTCCATCCTGTATTCAGGGGCAAATTCTGAGGATCTTTCTCTTTCTCCTCCTCCCTACCCCCACGTTCTTAATCAGTCCAAACAGTCAC